ATCAGAACCATTCAACATTAACAAATAGTGTACACCGCTCGCTTACTCTGCCCCATGCTGTTCTGATTTAAAAGGCTCTAAGAAAATAAATAATTACTACAACAGACCTGACTCCAGCCACTAGTTACAAAAAACCAACTGTGAACATTATCGAGATGCATCTCATCTTCTTAGCGACAGAACAAACAGGGCACTTTCCCAACTTCCACTCCAGGGCCAAAGCAGGATGGCAGACTTCCTCTCACAGCTATCCCCTCCCACCCCTGCTGCACCCCGGACTTCAGGAAGGATGAATTCCTTATGCACCCCTAGGTCCCCACTCGAAACTCAGGGTCTTATGCCAGGCCAGGCTCTCCCATACCGGTTCCACAGGCCAGGTCTGACAGGCTCAGAAGACACCTCCTCAAAGCCTGTCTCGATCCCTCTAACTAAATGCAATCTGCTCATTCCTCAATTGCCATAACTGTATGATTCACTTTAATGACATTTAGCTTGTAGTGGTTCCCGTTTGTTATTTCAGTACTTTTTGGCTTTTTGATCAATTCCTGAAGACAAGAACACCACCACATACATATTGAATCTCTTTAAATTTAACAATAAGCCACTAGGCACCCAAGACACCTCACAAACCAGTTCCATGACAGAACAACTGTAACTGTAACTGCTCCACCTTCACACAGAGCAAACTACTAAATACCAGACCATCCAAGAAAGGACCAGCTGCTGACAACAGCTGCCAACTTAGCCAAACCCTAGAAATGCTTTCCATACGCAGGTGCCCCTCTCCACTCTAGCCCGGGCCCAGCTGCATGAGGATCTCTGGGGCAGGACGCAGGCTTCTGTTAACACAGAGGTAGACTGTACAAGCATCCCAACACCTGAACACACGGGAAGCTATGCGATGTAAGGAGTAAGTTAGTCAGTTAACTTGGCAGGTTTCTGCAATGGACGCATACATCAGATCAACCTGGCTATACCTTAAACATACACAGATTGTATGTCAATACCACCTCAAGGGAGATGAGCAAACGGTCATTTTTAGAGCCATCTTCCATTCTTGCCATTTTTTTTCTTCTTGTCTGAGAGCCTGGCCAAGCTGCGGGTCTTCCAGCAATCCAAAGTGAGCCACTTCTTCCTCACTAGATCATAATAAACCCCTGTAGGTCACCAAGATTTTGGCCCTACAGGTCTGGATTACTCAGGGAAGGAGAAGGAGCCACACAAGAGGAAAGAACCCTCTGGTGCTGAACAGAGAACCACAGAACTTGCTCCAATCTCCTTCCCAGGAGCTCTCTGTGGTTCCTTTCTTGATATTGTGTCCACACCCATTGTCTAGATCAGCGGTGCTCAACCTTCCTGATGCTGCGACCCTTTAATAAACAGCTCCTCCTGTTGTGGTGACCCCCAACCATAACTGTGATTCATAACTGTGATTCATAACTGTAATTATGCTACTGTTATAAAGCTTAGTGTAAATATCTGTGTTTTCCAGGGGCCTTAGGCAACGCTTGTGAAAGGGTCATTCAACACCCTAAGGAGTCTCCGGCCACAGGCTGGAAATAACTGACCTAGATAAAGTCCTAAGACTAGAGGGAAGACACATGGGAGGATGAGGTCAGGATCCCAGCTGCCTCGGTCCTGGGAGAGGGCAGCCCTACCTGTCAGGCCCAGAAGAAGTGTTCTTTTCCTTTTCTAATCTGACTTTCCCTGGCCCAGACCATGCTCCCTATCATTCTGGTCCACTGATTGCTGCCTCGGTGTGAAGGGGACCTGGGTTACTGGCAAGAATGGGTCCATCATTGGTCCTGGAGAAGGCAAGCACCTGGGGACAAGAATAAAAGAGAGGCATCCCCTAGGGACCCCTGCAGGTGTTTGGCTATGCTGAGAAAGATATCCCGGTGTGATACAGATTACTCAGTGTGTTTTCTTACATATTTGATTTAGGTGCTCACATACCTACTCTCTGTACATTTAGCCACTGAGAAAGAGGTGGAAGGATAATTTTCATGGCAAGCTTCTGTCCACACTCAGGAGAAGGAGCTAGAAAGGGTCCCAGACTGAGCATGCCCACACAAGAGTAAAGCATGGCAGTGAAACATCATTGCTTCAAGATGCTGCTTCCAAAGAACGATTCCTCCATCCCACACTGGGTGGGTCAATTTGGGCAGAGGACTGACCACTTCCAAATACCCAGGGAGCAGAAGTGCTGCCTCCACATCCTGCAGCTCTCACTGGGCAGTGCCAGTCAAAGACACAGCCCTGACTGACTGATGAACTAAACACACACCTGCACATACAGCCAGCTGGAGAGAAGGCCCACCTACCTCTCAAAGGCGTAGAGAGTTCTACAATTAGGAACTAGAGACTCAACTGTCTATAGCAACCTGCCTGCTGTTTTTTGTAAATAACGTTTTATGGAAGCCAGCCTCTTCTAGCGGTGCCCATATTGTCTATAGCAGCATTGGCAGAATGAAGTAAATGCAACAAAGACCATGTGGCTTCTGCAAAGCCAAACGATTTACCATCTGGCCCTTTACAGAAAATGCTGGCCAGCTCCTGGTTTGAGATTACCGTAAAGAACCCACTCTAGTGGCTGCACCTGGTGGATTAACGCATAGAAAGTGGGCATTTGTAAATCTCAATAGTAAACTTCAATTTACTCCTCACAACCCTGGCTTTCGAAAGAGTCCCTTTCTTAGTGGTTGTAGTAGAAGCTGTGGTGCCCACCAAATACTTCCAGAGAGAACAAAGTGACCCAAGGGCTGCCTATCCTGCAGCAGCAACCAAGAGTGTCAGCTTCCTGAAGGAGTCACAGAGGATGACAAACCCACTGAGGTTCCACAATGGACACCGCCATGAGAAAGACAAAAGTCTCCACAGCTCAGCCCTGAGGTTTGTTTTCCACGTCAGAATCTGGTCTACATTAGTGTCTCAGGAGACAGAGCAGAGGGCAGCCTCATTTGACTCCCGTTCTCCTGCAGAGAGTTCAGCTCCATGATAAATGACAGAAAGCGTGCCCAACTTCATTGGGACTTGAATTCCGTATCAATCCCAAGGCTACAATAACAACTAGCAACCCCTACCCTGTCTGCCTGCCAGCCACCTACCCTCCTTGTGTTAGATGTCAACACAAGCTAAAGTTATTTGAGAAGAGAGAACCTCAATTGAGAAAATCTCAGATTGTGCCAGATTGGCTGGGGGTACAGATGCAAGCTGGGTTTGGTGGCTCACACCTGTCATCCAGGGCTTGAGAGCTGAGACAGAATGATCCCCATGAATCTGGAACCTAACTAGGCTACACAATGAGTTCCCGGTCAGCCTGACCTATAGTATGAGACCCTGTCAAAGAAACAAAAAAAAGAAGATGGAATTTTAAGTGGACTCTCCATAGAGCAGTCGGGGGATGGGGGCAGATTCAGGTCAGAGCAACGCCACTGCCACCGCAACATCCCCTGCAGAAGACATCCACATTCCTAGCCCAACACTCACTTCCTCCTCTTCTTCATGAGCTACTCCCAAATTCTAACAGCACACCTGACCCAGGCCCTCATCTGCTGGGCCAACCTCACCTTCTAGGAACTGCCTGCACTTGACCTAGTATGCCTGAAGAGGCCACGTGCATCCTTGTCTTGCTAGTTCATGAAGCTTTCTTGAGTTCAGGGTTAGCACATTCTGCAGTGTTATTTAATAACTAAGTAATTCCAAAATGGAAGGGCATCCCAGCTACGCTGCCAGACTCAAAGGAGTTGATGCAGGTGAGTGCTGCCTCATTCAAACTACCTTTAGTTTGAATCAGTGGGATTAAGAAACTGAGAAATTCCTTAATAAAATAAACACAACAAGACCCAAGTGCAGGGCCCCTGAGCCCACCCTGCCCTTCGCCTTTCCATTCGGTCACCATGCTTTAAGGGCTGGTCTGCATGACCTCCAAGGCCACTGCAGCCCAAGAGCTGCATTACTGCAGTTCTCACTCGGCAGAGCTGATTCGCTTTTCCTGCAACCATGCACTGTATGTTCCCAGCCTTCACCAAGACCACACAGCCACATGAGCGACACTGAAGGGCAACACGGTAACACACGCCATCTAACGCAAACCCAGTCTATTCAGTTTATCTTTCTGGTACTTCTTATTAGCTGTTTAATATAGATCACTCAGACTGTAAAGTATGTGCATATGAGCTGCATGCCAGTAGCTGCTTTCCTACCAGAGACTTTCTCGTGGGAACGTAGCTGATTTACCTCATTCCCTCAAAAGGAATGCAGTATCTACTGTGGAACGGAGCAGTATTTACTGCATTGCAACTGAGAACCTTTCTGTTTAAAATGCAGATGTCAGCGTTTAATATGGGATCATGAAGCTGGGTGTCAAAGGCTTGATGCATACATGCAAATGTTAGCTGAAGATGAGGGGTTTCTGCTCTTGCTCACTGGCTGTCAGCAATATTTCCTTTTATGCAATAATTATTAGATTCCTCTTATTTCAAGTTTTACAATTCTGGACAACGAAAGAATGTTTTTAAGAATTCACAGCTTATTTGCTCTGATTGCCCCACTTTAAGCTCTCGCTGTCATGCTACCTCAGCACTGACCGACACTAAATGCCCATGGACGAATAAGAGCAGTTCCCAGGTAGCAGGAAGGGGCGCACCTTCCTCTTACAGTCAGTACGTATGGCTCAGACTGTCTAACTTCAGATCCAGTTTGCCAGAGAAGAAAAGATAGCTCAAGCCAGGCATAGAGATGCGGGCCTGAAAGCCTAGTGCTAGGGAAGTGGAGACAGAAAAGTCACAGGTTCTAAACCTAGGCCAGCCTGGGTTCAAGAAGAAGGGGAAGAAGGAGGAAGAGAGTTTTAAAAATCCCTCGGTTGGTAGTGTCATATTCCCAAACATTCCACTCCTCTCTGTCACAGAGGAGCAGTCCCAGGAGCAGGAGGAACAGGGATGACGGCACGCATCATCAGTAGCTAAAACCTTTAATGCGGGAGCAAACAAGGCCCATACCTTGTAGAGCGGCCGACGCACATCTATGGGACAGTTCTGTATGACCTCATCAACGACATCCGAGATGGACTCCATGAAATCCGGGTTGGCGAACTACATTTTATAGAGACAGAAAAGAAATGTTATACGTTTTCCTCAAATAACTAGCGCTTTCTTCAAACGACATTTTAAGACTGTGTTTTTATGTTTAACTATGTGTGTAGGTGAGTGTGTCTGAGTGTGGGTTTGTGCACATGAGCAACGTGTGCACTGGTGCTGGAACCGGGCTGGGATCCTCTGCAAGAGCAGTCCCTGCCGTTACACTGGGGCATGCTTCCAGGCCCCTCAGCTACATTTCTTTAAAGGTGACCAACAAACACACAGTTCCCTAGAACGGAAATCAAAGAATGTCAAAGGAATGCGCATGGCCGACCACATGTGTGTGGAGCGATGTGAACATGACATGTGTGCGTGTAGCCAAGGAAAAGTACCCATCAGTCACCAGGACAGGCAGCCCTGCTAAGGAGAGCACTGCACCGCACGCCAGTCAGAGAGAGGGGAGGGCACGCACACCAGCTACGGGGCGTGCAATGAGAATTACACTTGTGAGTATTGACACAGAGAAAAGTTAGCCAGGCTTTGAGAGGAAACCGTGCTACGGTGATGGCGGTGGTGTTAGAACCCAACAGTCGCCCTTGCAACAGTCACGGTGAGCAAACAAATAAGCATCTTTGGGTCCAATGGCATGAGTTAAATGTACGAAAGTCGGAAACTGTCAACTCCAAATACACTTCAAAACCCAGTTCGTACTCCAAGGTCTCGGAGGAAGAAGGTGACATCCAGTCTTTCACCAGCTGGGGATGCACTGCTTCAGAAGGACAGTCACAGAGCTGGACAGACTCTGTCCTAACCCCACTCCCATGCAAGGGCCAGTGTACACCAGTCTCCAGGATTAGTGACTTACATTACCACCGACCCCTTAAGGTCAGTTTCAAATCCATTTTCTTCTATTGCTATTCAAAGTTTTCCTCATCTCAAGGCGGATAACCCAACCTTAAGTGTTAGAGCAGGTAAGTCGATGGCAAGGCAAACCAGGCAGCCACAAGGCATGGGGAGGGACCATGCAAAACAGCCAACTTGCTCTCTGGGCCCCTGTACTGGGAGCTGCTCCTGGTGCACACTAGGGGGCAGCATTGCTCCACATCACTGTACTCTGCAGCCTCAGAGACAGCTCTTACCTCAGGGTGAAAGAATATTTCCGGTCCCAGGAACCTTTCATAACCAACATCTATAATGAACTTTTTCTGGTTGATCGCATTGATCCCCGTGTACTGTTTGATCCACTTCCGGGAATCCATGTCATACTTAGCAAATTCTTTGACAATATCAGGGCAAATGTAACAGTACTTCTCCTGTGTATACACAAAAAGATATCACCACGCATTAATAACCGCCAGTGTCTCTGCCCTCTGACAAATACACAGGAACCCACACATTACAGACAGCTGACTCCACCTCTGCTACACTGTAACCCATGTGGCTGGACTGTCAAGCTCGTGTCCCCCTGTCTTTCGGCTCAGACATGACGGCGCTTGAGCAGGTAAGTCTGCTTTCTCTGCAACTTGGTTATTCATCACTACCAAGTCCACCTAATTTTGTTGCCATATTGTCTGCAATAACACCTCTCTGTAGACATCAGCACCTTGTCTCCATCCAGACTTTACGTGCTCCCTCGGGCTCCCTCTCCGGTGCCTTCTCACCACTGCCCATGTCTGGATAGCAAACTAAGCTTCGCCTACGGTAGAGTACAGTAACCAACCACATCCTAACGTGTGTGCGTGCATGTGTGCGCATCGGTGTGATACAGAGGGAGTGCCCTCTAGCTTCCCGCTAGACGTCTGCTTGCAGGGATCCCCTGGCCCGCAACGTGCCTGAGATTGTACCTTGCCAGTCACGTGTCCTAAGTCACTTAATCAACACTGGAGATACAGTCAATGCAATACTTAGATCCCGGTCAGAAATAACCTAGCACTGACTTCAGTAAACAACACAGGATGCAGATACTACAGAACAAAAGCAGGATCAGGCAGGAGCACTGGGGTTGCTAAGAGATTGCCGCCACTGAAGAAAGGAAAACAGCTAAAGGAAACGTGGGAATACTTTAGCCTACAAGGAAGTCTTGGGACACTCGGCAAACCTCTCCGCAATGGAGAAGGGACCAGCTCCACCTTTTGCTTTAGCACGGAGAGTTTCCCCAGTCCTGGAAGGTCCAGGCCCGGGATGCAGAGGTTAGTGGTGCCCTTTTTGTAGGATCCTGCCTGATATCTGCCCCCTCCTGAAAGGACGGTTTTCAACGAGTATCAGCCAAATGTGGAAATCTTGTCTCATGCATCCTTGCATTCAACCAGCCTCGGTAGAGGCTCAGCTGAGAGGAAAACAGCAGGGGGGCTTACCCTCACCCCCCCACACACACCCCCAACTATCCTGAACCTCAAAACCAGAGAAAGGAGATACTTAAGGTCACAAGTCACACCCCACCTCAGACTCTTCTCCCGATCCAAACAGAACCCTTCCTCCTTCACTCTATAGAATAATCAGCCTTGGACTCTTAAGAATCTCCTTCATTCTGATTTTTTTCATGTTTTGAGTTTGATAGCTGAGAAGAAAATTCCTTTAAAAGGCTCTGTAACTGCTATACAAAGACAGCCAGGTCAAGTAGACACTAAATATTGACCAGAAAGCCACTTTGTTTCTTTTGTTACTAAAGAATCCTGTCACTGGTCTAGTGCTGAACCGAGGTCTGGAGCCATGCAGGGGGATTGTGTTCAAGGATGCTAAGACTCAGACTGGCCTGGTCTGAGGTGCATTCTCAGGGCACGAAGGCAGGCAGGCACCACGGGATTCCTGAGAGCTACGCTGCTGCTGTGACTTGCCCCTGATTCCAAAAGGAAGCATGGAGGGAGATGTGGAAGCAGCGTGCATTTAATTGAAGGTTTTGTTTAATTAGGCTCCAATTAAACGACGCCCTACTGCACACACAGTGGCTCCCCACCAGTTATCAAGTCGCTCTCCGTGTAGAAGAGCGCACTGAGCCTCAAGGCCCCTGCACACTGAACTCACTGGCAAGACAGTCAAGGCCACACTCGCAGGGGACAGGAAGGGAGCAGGAGGGGGGTGATGGGCATCGAGGGAACGTCCAAGCACCATTTCTCTCTCACCCCCAAACCAGCCAGGGTCCCTTCTGTTTTTACCTTAATGGCTTTTGCGGTCTCCAGTGACTGCTCAGGAGGGATTCCCACCTCCCTCTCCCTTAGCAGCTGTTGAATGAAATACGTAATATCTCTACCTGCAATTGGGATGTGTTTGATGCAGCTTCCAATTACATAACCTTCTGCCTGGAGAGGAAGAGGAAGCAGGACAGCCATATCAGTAAAACACAGTCCAGAGCCAACTGGACCCAGGAGGTTCCCAGCCACACCTTCCCAGCCTCCCCTCTGTGTACTGAACTAGCGTGTAAGGGCTCCCATTCATGAGGCTCAGCGCCTAAGGTCCTTTTAAATGACTGCACCTGCAGCTCTATTAATATTTAAAATTCTAAATGACTCCAATAACCTGAATCTCCATAAGCAACCAAAATGTTGTTTTCATTCGGAACAGGAGAAACTGCGTAGGTTTAGTCCATTTCTAAAAGACAATGCTGTCTGAGAGAAGTCATCTTTTCTTCTAACTAGACAGGAAAGACTTCGTCTATGTGCTACTGAACCAACTATAAACCTCCTAATTCAAAGTCAGTGACAAAGCCTGGTACAGACGCCTGTGATCCCAAAACAACCTGGATCCAAACTTTTTTTTTAAGATTATTTATTTATTACATATACAGTATTCTGCCTGCATGTGTATCTGCACCCCAGAAGAGGGCACCAGATTTCATTATAAGATGGCTGTGAGCCACCATGTCGTTGTTGGAATCGAACTCAGTACCTCTGGAAGAAGAGTCGGTGCTCTTAACTGCTGAGCCATCTCTCCAGCCCCCTGGATCCAGACTTCTAACCTTCATGACTAGTGTGGAGAAAATACTCTGAGAACATTTATAGTGTAGATAAAGCAAAACCCTGCCTGCCGGATATGTGCCTTACGGCAGATACTACAAATTCAACAAAGGGTTCCACTCAAAGAAGCTGACCAACCAGGGCCTCTGCAGACCCTGTGTGTTTGTGGCTCAGGATCTGCATTCTCCCTGCCTCCTTCCTTAGCTACTGAAGGCATGTCTGCGAGGGGCCCACAGGGAGTCCACAGTGACTCTGCTACCGACTAGCAGGGCTAATGCCCACAGCACTACAGTCCCCTCACTGACCTTTTGTGGGCACAGGCTTGCCACAGAAGCCGCAAGCCTGGCTACCCATCCAGCTTGTCTGCAAAGATACTGGGGACACTGGTGGTCGGGTTTCACACTCTAGCACTTCATGGCTTCTAGGCCACAAAGCCCAAGGGAAAGAGAGGGCATGGAGGTAAGCCACTGCTCCATGCTGCAGGTGTGCACTCTCCACACGCGCACAGATGGAGCCACCAATAAGCTGCAAGGACCTCCTTCCCAAGGCTTCCTGGGCTTTTGGCTCACGGTCCTAACTTCTAAACAAAAGATTAGACCTTTCTGCAAGGTACAGGTATTTGTAAAATATTAAAGATGGAGATAAGAGGTATGGACAGGTGATTAAAATATTACCTTCCTACAGGCTGACTCTTCACAGTCACACTTGGCCTCACAGACACCATTTTCTAGAATGAGCACTAGTGAGCGTGCAGCATGCCACACACCTGCAGCGGGAGTCAGCACTGGGTCACTGCAGGGCCACACACCTGCTGTGGGACAATGGTCTTTTATCCTGTCACCTGTATTATCTTTAATAAAATGCTGATTGGCCAGTAGCCAGGCAGGAAGTGAGGCAGGGCAATGAGAATGCTGGGAAGAGGGAAGCGCAGTCTGCAGTCCTGTCCCAGCCACAGAAGAAGCAAGAAGTGACTGCCTCGCTGAAAAAAGTACCAAGCCACATGGCTAACACACACAAGAATTACGGGCTAATGTAAGTTATAAGAGTTATAAGAAGCCTGAGCTACTAGACAATCAGTTTATAACTAATGTAGACCTCTGTGTAGTTCTTTGGGACTGAATGACTGCAGGACCAGGTGGGACAGGCACTTCAGTCAACACACACCATGGCTTTAGATAATTATTTTTCATAGACAATTTGACTGTAATAGAAAAAGGTATCATTAAATTTATATGCAAAATATAACTTTAGCATTATTTATATGGTATAAATTCTACCCCAATCTAAAATGTGTACATGTATATACATACATCTGTGTCTTAACCAAAGCTTGACAGACAGTGCAGTGATATCGTGTCTGTCTGAATGGGTTTTCTTATTGTTCATGGTTTTACCCAATTTTTCAGTAACAAATAATTTTTGTAAATGGGGGAAGAAACTAAACTACGACATGGTGAAAAGTTACCTGGGTTCTAGGTGTAACATTTCCGGCCACACTGGTGCTGAGCCACCCTGGACAAGTGAACAAGTGACTAAAGAACAGGCATCTGCCTCGCCCTCCACAGTGTGCGTGTGATGGGGAACCAAATGCATGCAGGTCTGGGGCCACACACCTGCAGCTGCCCTGCTGCTCGGCATCAGAGGGACAGCCGGGAGCCAGAGTGCCAGACTGCTCTGAAGGACCCCGGTCTGACTCACACACCCCTCCCATGGAGAGGACACGTTGGCAGGGGTGCGAGGGTCAGAGACACTGGAGTGTCCTTCCTGGCCATTAAGGCTTTCACGACATTAGCCTTTCAGCAGACACAAAAGCAGCAGAATGTCACTCCTTCAGTTGCTGAACCAAAACTGACTATCACCTCTCAATTAAAGAAAATGTACTTGTTTTGCCTGGTTTGGGCTTAGTTTTGCTTTTGTTTGCTTATTTTTAGTTTGTTGTATGTGCGTGCACACACTCACATATATGTAGGTGCCTATGGAGGCAGATGTCGAAATCCATGGCTTTGGTTGAGACAGGGTCTTGCATATCCCAGGCTGAACTTAAGCCCAGTATACAGCCAGGAATGGCCTTCTGAACTGCCTGTGTTCACCTCCCAAATGCTGGAACTATAGGCATGTGCTTGGAATATTCCTTTACACTGTGTGAGGAAATGTCACTGTGGTTGGTTTAAAAGCTAAATGGCCAATAGCTAGGCAGGATTCTCGGGCACAGAGAATGCTGGGAAGAAGAAGGGTGGAGAAGACAGAGAGATGCAGAACAAGTCAGACACACGAAACGGGACAGAAGTAAAAGCCACATGGTAGAATGCAGATTAATAAAAAAAAAGGTTAATTTACGTTTCTAAGAGCTAGTTAGGAACAAGCAAGCCTAAGCTACAGGCTGAGCTTTCATAATTAATAATAAATCTCCATGTCATTTTCTGTGAGCTGGTGTCCCATAAAAAAAATCCACCTACAGCTATGTGCCACCTCACTCATCTTTGAATTTTTTAATATCCTAATTTATATGTTCAGAACAGATGTAGGGGCTAGAGAAATGGCTCAGTGGTTAAGATCATGCATTGCTCTTCAGTGGGCTGAAGTTCTGTTCCCAGCACTGACATCCGACAGCTTACAACTACCCATAACTCCAGTTCCGGGGGTTCTGATGCCTCTGGCCTCTGGGGGTACCTGCATTCACATGCACAAACCCATACAGAGATAAATCCATATAATTTTTTTTCAAAACTTAATCTTAAGGACTGTAAAATGGTTTAGCAGATAAAGGTGCTTGACCTGAGCTGATACCTGAAACCCACACAGTAGAATGAATGAACAGAGTCCCCCAGTCGCCTATGCTAATCAAGCCTTTCACTGGGCATGCCCTGACCCTCAGCTCTGGCCTCCAGAATCAGGTCTGGCTGCAGCAGCTCGAATGATGGGTCAGGACGCCAATGTGGCTCCTGTGGGGATACAGCAGAAGCCTTGGGGCAGGGGAGAATGACAACAGAATCTGCTCCATGATTTTGAAGCTGCCAAAGGCACAAACATGGCCATCTTTTGAACTCTTTAACACCTTCCGAGGCTGTCTAAATTTCTATTGCCAAGACCAGGTACATACTTTTTTAATCCCAGCACTTGAGAGGAAAGCAAATGAATCTCTGTGAGTTCAAAGCCAGCCTGATCTACACAGGGAGTTCCAGGCCAGCTAGGGAGACCCTGTCTATGAATTAAAAAAGGAAAGAAGAAGAAAAGGAGGGAGGGAGGGAGGGAGGGAGGGAGAGAGAGAGAGGGAGGGAGAGAGAGAGAGAGAGAGAGAGAGAGAGAGAGAGGGAGAGAGAGAGAAAGAGAGAGAGAGAGAGAGAGAGAGAGAGAGAGAGAGAGAGATTAAGGAGGATGGAGGGGGGGAGGGAGGGAGGGAGGAAAGGGAAGGAAGGAAGGAAGGAAGGAAGGAAGGAAGGAAGGAAGGAAGGAAGGAAGGAAGGAAGGAAGGAAAAATGAAGGAAAGAAGGGAGGAAGGAAAGGGAAGGAGGGAAGAAGGAAGGGAGGATCCCATTGCCATTTCTAAGTACATCACATAAAAAGTCAGAGGGGGGTGAGTTTTGCCTTGCCCTTTTCAATTCTCCTCTTACCTCAGGACAGGTGTTCAGCCTCAGAGAGTAAAATAGGAACGCTGTGCTTACCACTGGGATAACGTGGGTGACACCGTCTCCACTGTCTATGACTATCCCCGTCAGTGTGCGCTCACCAACTTGCCGGGATGTCCATGAGGCTGCCAGAGCCAGCACTGCCTGGAGAGAGACATTGAACACCCTCTGAAGAAAGACGGCACCCCACCCGGAAGGTCAGCAGCCATCGGTGACGAGTCTCAGGTTCTGCAGTGAACGTTTCGTACTTAACGAGTCTGAGACACTTCCCTTTCCCTATCCCACAGCTCCCAAACTACAATGCCCACCTAGTCAACTGGCATGCCAGTTTTCATTTCAAATGAAGAAGCTGGGTTTTTGACAAAAAAAAAAAAAAAGTTTTACAAACAAGAAACAGTGAAATGGAATTCCACTGCTAAATCCCAAGATTTCACTTCTAATTTACTGATGATCCAAAGGCAGCCACAAACACAGCCTGGGTTGGTTGGTTTGTTCGTTCACAGAATTTATCTGTGGTTTGAGGTGGGGGTCTCCTGTAACCTAGGCTGGCTTCAAACTTGTCACGTAGCCAAGGATGGCCTTGAACTCATGATCTTCCTGCCTCCAACTCCAGAATACGAGGATGTGCTCCACCATATAGCTTTTTCCACATTTGATTTCTTGTCAATCATTTCTTGATTCCCTGGGCTCAAACCCAGGGCTTTGTGCTGGGCAAGCACTCTCCCTAACTTGACCCACATGGAACTCTTCTCTCACAGGTGACAAGACCTCCATGCAGAAACTTTGATCTGATAGGTACAAGACAGTGGTTCTCAGCCAGGGGCAACTCTGCTCTTCGCAGAACATCTGGTCACTTCTGCCATGGCTCACTATCAACAATTACTATCGGAGAGGAGGCTGGCTGCTGCTCTACATTCTGCAAGGCACAGGACACACTACAGCAAGGAACTAGCCAGCCCAAAGCCAGGCCAAGATGGAACACAGGAATTTAAACTTTACTTTTTTTTTTTTTTAAGATCTATTTATTTAGTATGTACACAGTGTTTTGCCTGCATGTTTGCCAGCAGGCCAGAAGAGGGTGCCAGATCCTATTACAGCCTGTTGTGAGCCACCATGTGGTTGCTGAATGTTGAACTCAGGTCCTCTGGAAGAGCAGCCAGTGCTCTCAACCACTGAGCCATCTCTCCAACCCAGGAAATTAAACTTTTGAAAAGCATATTCTGGAACCCTGATTGCTCTTTGGGCTGACAAGGGAGGGGGACTTGATTGGGGGGGGGGGAGGGAAAGGGGAGGCAGCTGTGGGGAAGAGACAGAAATCTTTAATAAATAAATAAATAAATAAAAAGAAAAAACAAACAAACAAACAAAAGCATATTCTGGGTGAAGTTGACATACAGACCATCTTAAGAACCATTAGGCCTTGTGGGACATGGTGGCAAACACCGTTCATCACAGCACTCAAGAGGTTAGGACAGGAGGATCACCCTGAGTTTGAGCCCAGAGTAGCTATAGAGTAAGGTCTTGTATAAATAATAATAATAGTAATAATAATAATAGTAATCCAGTGTTTCTGAGTACCTCCCTGTTCTATACACTACGTATAATATATGTCTTGGGAGGGAACAGAATTAGTAGATTTCCTCTGTGGGAAAGGGTGGGGCCTTTACTGTGTGAACAGACACTATGATTCACTATGGGGAGACTACAGCACCTACAAAATGCATCTCTCCATGGAACTCTTCTTTCTTCGAAGGAAGTACTATTATACAGGAAATTTTGGAGAAAGACTCATCTCAGTTACTCCTCAAGACTCCAACCAGCGCCCTTGTATATAACTGCCAAAGCAACAACAAAATTGTAAGCCAAGAACAAGAATCTTCAAGATGAGTTCTGGAGCTCCCAGGAGGTCCGGGCCTCTTGGAGCAAGAGTTCATGGAACTAATGGAGCCTAATCAAGGGGCTCTCCCAAGGCATTTACTCTGTTTTAACTTTTGTCTGCTCTGTCGTTGAGACAGGGTCTCACTCTGTAACCCAGACTTGCCTCAGAACACATGCTGTAGCCCAGGCTGACCTAGACCCTCCTGCTCACCCTCCCAAGTGGTAGGATCATTGCTTGGCTTATTTTGTTTTCCAGTGGATGGCATGCTGTCTGTGCTGTCTTTTCATTTCATTTGTTTGTTGTTTCTTAAACTCACAGTGACCCAAAGTAAGTGTAAAACACTTAAAAAAAATAAAAACAAAAACAAAAAAGCACATCTACACCTCTAACTTGACACCCAAACACATGAGACTCTACATGGGAAAAACTGTAGAGCCAGACCAACTTTATATTAGTGGTAGTTATATAAAAATAAATTACAGAGGGCTGGAGAGATGGCTCAGAGGTTAAGAGCACTGATTGCTCTTCCAGAGGTCCTGAGTTCAATTCCCAGCAACCACATGGTGGCTCACAGCCATCTATAATGAGATCTGGTGCCCTCTTCTGGCATACAAACATACATGGAAGGAATGTTGTATACATAATAAATAAATAAATCTTTAAAAAAATAAAAATAAAAAAATAAATAACAGAGTCGGCAGTAGTGCACAAGCCTTTAATCCCAGCACTTGGGAGGCAGAGGTGGGTGGATCTTAGTGAGTCCGAGGCCAGCCTGGTCTACAAAGCAAGTTCTAGGACAGCCATTGTGGTTACATAGAGAAATCCTCTTTCAAAAAAATAAATGAATAAATACAGGCAAGATTCTTTATGGTGCTTTGATTAAAACCTGAATAGCTTGGTGATGGGGTGAGAGAGAAGAGAAATGCCTAACCCGGTCTGAGCACAGAAGGCCTTGGGATTACTGTGAGAATCAGAAAAATAATACTATTTTTACCTGTACTGCAATGTAGAGTCCTGGTACATTAAATGATTCAAACATGATTTCTGCAAGGTACTCTCTGTTTTCTGGTGTGTTCAGTGGAGGTTCTGTCTGTAAGAAAACGTTAGATTCAGTGTTCTCTCGAATTTCATATAAATACAACAGAGTTATAAAAGGCTGACCTAACAGCCTGTTGGATAGGGAATTAGAACTCCCTAGTTGCAAAGACAGGGTTCACTAAAGGTGACTAGTTAAAGGTATCTGACTGTGGGTCTCAAAAGCTTTGACAAGGCAGAGTGAAGACTCTATGGGGCTTCTGGTATCAGGACTCACCCAAAGTTCAAAGTTCAACAAGACACAGAAAAAGAGAAGCTCAATTCATTACCTACATTACACCGAGCATCCGTGAACTGAAAACCACGATGCAGGATGCCAAAGGCATGTATTCCTGAATACAGCCAAGGGTGAAGACTCACGATGCTATTCCCAGTACCCAGACCAGAGACAGATGAGTTCTCCAAAGAACAGGCAGAGGGAAAGCTGCTGCTTGAAGCACCAGAAGTTTCCTCAACCCGCCACACTTCAGGATGGCTGCCATGTCCCCTGGGCCCACCAAGCCCACACGCACACATGCAATGAAGGCAAATGTTAACGGCTAATAATACATAAAAATGCTAAAAGAAAGAGAAAAGTAATCAATACACAAATGGAGACAAAACCAAAAACATACAGAGGAAGCATCCTAAGATGCCCCAACCTGAAACTCTGAGCACCAACCTGACATCACAGTAATGTGAAATTACCCTCTGGCTATGTGTACAGATCTTTATGAAGCATAATGCATTTAGCACTTAGGCCTCAGTCCTAACCCCATGATATCTCATTATGTATGTTCAAGCTTTCCAAACTCCAGAAATCGGAAAGCTTCTGGCTGCACGCATTTTGAGCAAGGGATACCAAGTGTACACCTAGAATGATATGAAAACAAAGTAGAAGAAAATGTTGAGAGACTGTCAACAAGCCAGATCCTTTTAAAACAGTGTTATCAGATAGGATAAAAATCATCAGACAACAACCACACTAAAACAAGGCGCTGTACTTTTCCAAAATATATTAACATAAACTACAAAAATAATGAAAATGTTCTGGACCTTTTGGCAAAAAGTCCACATTGCCTTTTATTATGGACTGAATTGTGATCCCCCAAAATTCATGCATTAAAATCCTAACCCACAAGTCTCCCCTCCCTCTTTCTCTCCCTTCCTTTTTCCTCTCTCCCTCTCTCTGCCTCTCTCCCTTCCTGATGTGGACTATTCCTTTATACTGTGTGAATATATGTCACAGTGATTGGTTTAATAAAAAACTAAAGAACCAATAGCTAGGTAGGATTTCAGGGCAGAGAGAACACTGGGAAGTAGAAGGCTACCAGGAGTAGCCAGCCAGATGTGGAATGAGTCGGACACACAAAATGGGGTGCATGTAAAAGCCACATGGTAGGATATAAATTAAAAGACATGGGTTAATTTACGTTATAAGAACTAGCTATAAAAAAAGCCTAAGCTATCAGCTGAGCTTTTATAATTAATGATAAGGTTTCTGTATCATTATTGGGGAGTTGGCAGTCCCAACAAAAAGTCAGACTACACCTCCCTTCTCCATATACGCATTAGCACAGAGAAGAGGCCATCAAAAGCCAGGAAGAGGGCCCTGGCCAGGAACCATCCTGGCTGTACCTCCCTAACCTTGAACGTGCAGCCTCCAGGACTGTGAAAAAATAAACCTCTCCTGTTTAAGCCTCTTTGTCTGTGGCATTCTGTCAAGACAGCAGAGCATGCCACAAACACTTCAAGCAGGGAATAAAGCCTCTGGCTTCAGAATGGCTACTTAAATCCTGTGGCACACAGGGCCATACTTAAGCGTCTCCATGGTAGGAAGGATAACCCAATAATTTGTTATCTGGCCAAAATGTCAATTCAGAATTTGCAAAACCAAAATATCTTTAACTGTGTATAAACTCAGGAAATGAATTAATGCTGCGAAGGCCTTTATGTACTGCTCAGGGTGCGGTGAGGTGTTACACTGTACACAATCACAACACTGCTCCTGCTCGAGATCCCAAAATTAAACCCAATTATCTCTAAACAAAGAATGCTCAGATGAAGCCTCCTCCCTGAGGACTAGCTTCATAGTATCAGAAGGTGCTATGCAAACTGCCAAAGGAAGTTAGCAATTAATAGCCCTACCCAACTGTGCGGCCTATGAACCACAGCAATGACCAGCCCTGCAAGACAAGTCCCAAAGAGTGGCACTCAGACTTCTTGGTAACCAACAGCCCTCTAATTGGACCTACGGCCTTCCCAACAGCCTAGTACTGAAAACCTAGCCAACTACCTGGGGCTATTGAGGTCATGGATCTTAGAAGAGAACCTGCTAACACCACTTTACCAGAACAGCCAACTCCCAACTGCATTCTAAACCCTTATCCTGACACCCATAGGTGAGTGTCACTCTCGTCCCCCATCAGAAGCTTGTTTTCACAGGAGACGGAGACCATCACAGAAGACCACAGCTAGTCAAAATCCAGCCACAACAAATACACCGACCACACAACTCCTGCACCCTTTAAGGCTCAGGGAGCATCAAAGAAGAAGGGAAAGAAAGATTGTAAGAGCCAGGGGACCAGAAAATCTGCTTTGAGATCGTGTCTCCTGGAAATGACCCGGAAGCTTCACCCATGATACTGAAAAAATATGGCTGCCTAAACAAGACCCAAACAATATCAACACACACGCTGATGTGCAAGAGGGAACACTCATGAGGCTCTACCCCAGACACGCTACTAACCACTGCTGAGAGAGGAAGAATTAGATTTTCCCAGGGATGAGCCCCCTCACTGGCTATACAATATCAAGTGGTCAGCCCTGAAATCATGCACATACAAGCAACACTAAGTGGACTTGGCAAGTTACATTTATGCATTTATACATGTAGTAATAATAATAATAGCAATAGTAGAAGAAGTAATGAATTTGAGAGAGTAGTGGGGCACATTGGAGGAGCTGGAGCAAAAGAACACTGTTGTTCTAACCTCTGAACAGTGGCTGCACCTTAATCTACTGCTATCTCAGTCAGCAACGGCAACTCTGCAGTTACCAGTCTGGTTGGCTGCTCAGGCCTCAGCCTGGCAAGAACTCTGCTCCCACAGGCAACGGCCCTATTACTGCCACTACCTGTAGCTCTGATTAAATCTCTAGCGTTCTAATTATGAATAAGACTCAAGATTCAAAGGCTGGGTGGGGTGAAAACCTAAGAGCTCAGAGAGGTTGAGCAGCAACTAATTGATCCTCTCTCCTTGCTGGTGTCCATAGAAGACCCATGGACTTCCACCTCAACAAACCCCAGAGAAAGCTGTGCCACTCCAAACCCTGCTACTTCCTGTGACTATCTCTCGCGGATGCCCTCTGAGGCTCCAGGATGACTTTCTGTCAACTAGTTGCTAACTCAACCTCCTGACCCAAGGTTAATTTTATTTAATTATTGCAAATGCAAACTTGGGGTTCATGGTGTGATAGAATATCCCCAAATAGAACACAGGAGGGGTTGAAGGGAAGAAAAGAAAGGAGGGGAAAATAATATATTTTAATTTAAAAAATGTTAAATTAAGTAAAAAAGAATGGCTGGGCAATGGTTGTGCATGCCTTTAATCCCAGCCCTTGGGAGGCAAAGGCAGGTGGACCTCTGTGAGTCTGAGGTCAGCCTGGTCTATAAAATCAGTTCCAAGACAGGCTCCAAAGTCACACAGAGAAATTCTGTCTCAAAAGAGAGAGAGAATAACATGATACACGGAGCTGTGCAGGGTGGCACACACCTTTTATCCCAACACGCAGGAGTTAGAGGCAGGCGGATCTCTGTGAGTTCGAGGCCAGCCTGGTCTATACAGGGAGTGCCAGGCCAGCCAGTGCTATATAGTGATACGGAAACAACAAACAAACAAAAACTGTATCCCTTTATCCACAAGATTATACTGTTTCTTAGCGATCACAAGCAGAAGTCAAAACAGACAAGAGCCAGCTGCTGGCTAGCAGCCATACAACTGTGATGGCCATGACTATGGGAACTGGTTGTTTGAAGAGAAATGTCTCCCATGGGCTCCTGAACTTGAACACAGACCCCGTAGGTGAAGCTTCTGGAGAGTTTCTGAGATGCAGCCTTGCTGAAGGAAGTATGTCATTGGGAATGGGCCTTGAGATCTCACAGCTCCACTCACTTCCTGTTTACTCTCTCTGCTTCCTGTCTGTAGTAAAGATGTGACCTCTCAGCTTCCTGCCCCTGTCACCATGCCTGGTGCTTGCTGCCACACCTCCCAGTCAGACAGACTCTTCTCTCTCTGGAACGGTAAGCCAAAACTGAACTCTCTTCCTTAATTTGCCTTTGGTCACAGTGTTTTATCACAGCAAAAGAAAGGTAGAGATGTAGAAACTGCAAATAAAAATGTAGAAACTGCAAATAAAAAGGAGCAAGGTCCACCAAGATGGCTCAGTGTGTAAAGAAAGGTGCTTGCCACCAAGCCTGATGACCTGAGTTCAAGCCCCAGGGACCACATGGAAAAAGAAGACTGATTCCTTCAAGTTGTCTTCTGACCTCCACATGAGCATACATACAGTGCACACACAAACACAAAAATAAAGACATAAGCAAGAAAATGGAGTGTAATACTGTACATAAAGTATAAAAACATGGGTGAAAAGGGAGAAATCAATAAATGTTAACCATCTCTATGTTAATGGGATGCGACTAAGAAAGGCATAGACATTATTTCCAGACATTCTGATTCCTCCCTTCATCTCTCTTATTACAGGAAGGAAGCTTACACCCCGGTGAGACTCTGAACTAACACCTACATACCCCCTCACATAGCAATGCAACCCCCTTAGCCACAGACCAAGCACTAAGCAAAAGTAAACCCATCGCAGAGCTGGAGCGGACAGAGCATGGCCATGGCACTCCTGGCCACTGGGTCCCTGATACAGGACACTCAAGATGGACAGAATACAGCAGAAGGCACAAGTGCAGCTGAGCTCTATTCGAGCTGCTGTCTTCAGACCCGTGAACTGCCTCACCCTGGCAGACAGTATGAGCTGTACTTTATTAGCCCTGTGTGGTCATGACTGATTAGTCATTGGTTGATACTGGAAATGGCAACAGGTCCAGACAAGAAGTATAACCTAGACTTCGTCGTGGACAAGGATGACTAAGTAGCTAAGCTCTGGCCAGTGAGATACAAAAGCCAATACCAAACAGTAGAGCCTCTTTGCCTTCACTCCTCCTTTTCCTTTAGAATAAGGGAATGGCTGAAGCTACAGTAACCAACCTTGGAATAGTCAGCATCCTCATCAGGGAAGCCAAACAGCAAATACTCTAGGGAAGAGAAATCCCTCATGACACCAGACCAACACCTGCCATAAGCTGATTTATAAAGAAAACTGAAAGCCCTGCCCTGTTTGAACTACTATTTTTAGGCTCCTTTCACTGGCTGCCAATCACAACTCACCATCTTTGAAGAATCAGACTCTCTACTTCATCATCAGGGAATATTTGCTATGTACTCCCGTTCTCTGGGTCTGGAATCAAAGTATTCTTTTTGTTTGTTTGTTTTGTTTTGCTTTTCAAGACAAGGTTTCTCTGTGTAGCCCTGGCTGTCCTGAAACTCACTCTTTAGACCAGGCTGGCCTCAAACTCAGAGTGATCCACCTGCCTCTGTCTCCCGAGTGCTGGGATAAAAGGTGTGCTTCACCACAACTTGACCCAAAGTTGGTATTCTTAAGACTATGTCCTCATAACCCGTTTCCTCCTTGGTCTTCCACTTCTTCTGTGTCCACCACCAAAGGTATGGGAAGTATTTCTTTGGAAGACACACTTGAATAAAACATTCCCAAACAATTACATAAGATCAAAGTCTTTTTATTGTCTTAATATTAAAGCATATTATTAGAATATCACATAAAAGGAAACTACACAGCATTATAATTCATAGCAATAGTAAAATTACCACCTGGTACTTATTCAAAATGAATAAATAATTAGTATTATGAAAAATAAACCTATATTTCTCCATGAGACAAAAAATTAAATGCATATGCCTAGAATTAGTTCCACCTTTAACCCCTCTATGATTGTAGTGGAGAAATGCTTTACTATTATTGGTATATGTGTGCACATGAGCACAGATACACAAGCGTCACATACACCAGTGGTCGTCAGAGGAGAACTCCGCAGCTCCAGCTTTCCTGTCATTGAGGGTTCTGGCCATCAAGCTTGCACAGGATCTACTATTACCTACTGAGCCATCCTGAAACCATTTTTAAAATATAAACACTCAAAGAAAAGAGAGCAGGAGAGGAGATGACAACATGCTAGAAGCTTGGAGACAGGTGGAGCAGCACAGGCTGAGCAAACCCATGTGGCCCATCTCTGTGCTGGCTAGTGGTCACAGAATTAGGAAATGTAACTGAAGGTTTCTCTTCTACCTGCCAATTCCCAAATAAACACTCAGAGGCTTTTTATTAATTAAGCAAGTTCAGCTGATGGCTCCGGCTTATTATTAACTAGCTCTTACAACTTAAATTAACCCATTTTTATTATTCTATATTTTACTACGAGGTTTGTGGCTTGTTAACTCACATCTTGCTTCTAGGGTAACTACTGGTGTCTCCCTTACTCTACCTTCTTTCTCCCTATATCTTTGCTTGGATTTCTTGCCTGGCTTTATTCTTTCTGGCTATTGTCCAAATCAGCTTCTTTATTAACCAATGATAACAAAACATTCACAGCATTAGGGAAGAGCATGTCTGAATCATCATTAATACGTTAGCAAATTTTATGTCAACTCAACACAAGCTAGAGTTATCTGTGAGAGGAGGAAAGTCCATTGAAAAATTGTCTTAAGATCCAGCTATATTTTCTTAATTAGTGACTGATGGGGGAGGTCCTAGACCATTGTGATCCCAAGTTCTATAAGAAAATAGGCTGGACAAGCCATAAGCAAGCCAGTAAGCAACAGCTCCTGCCTCTAAGTTCCTGCCCTGTTTGAGTTCCTATCCTGACTTCCTTCAATGAGGAACAGTGATACGAAAAAGTGTAAGCCAAATAAACCCTTTCCTCCCCAACTTGTTTTCATTACAGTAATAGAAAACCTGACTATCAGCAATCCAGGGAATTCCAGAGCATGATGTAGATATATGAAGCTGTCATAGTGAAATCCATTTCGTCTGCTAACCAAAAACCTAATTTAAGAAAGAGAAAAGGAAAAGAAGGGAAAGAAAGAAAAATGAAAGGAAAGGAAAATAAATTGGGTGTGGTGGTACACGCCTATAATCCCAGAACTGGTAACATGGAAATAGGTGGATGCCCAGAACTTGAGCTTGTCAGTCAAGCCTGGGCTACTTGGTAAGTCTCAGAACAGTAAGAGAATGTGTGTGTGTCACTCTCTCACACACAAATACACACACACAAACACACGAGTCAATGTCTAGCCTCTCCACTCTCAAAATCACCCAGCCCAGTCCCCAGCTCCACCTCTTATTAGCACACGGTGGCCCCCCACCGTGCCCCCCCACCGTGGCCCCCCACCGTGGCCCCCCCACTGTGGCCCCCCCACCGTGGCCCCGCACCGTGGCCCCGCACCGTGGCCACGCACTGCCCTTCTTCACTCCCATCTCACAGGCCCTCTAGTTAAACTAGTCAGTTCTTCAAAGGTGTCATGGTGTCCTGAAAATGGGTTTCTCTAGGTTCACAGAAAACACCACCTATTTCTTCCTACAAGGATTATATTTTACCAGTTTATAGATATGCCAGCTAACCCAGGGAAGAACGTGTGTGTGTGTGTGTGTGTGTGTGTGTGTGTGTGTGTGTGTGTGTGTGTAAGAGAGAGAGAGAGACAGAGAGAGAGAGAGAGACAGAGGGACAGAAAGTAAAAGAGATAGGAGGAAGAAGAGAAAACAGAAACAGAAAGAAACTCTGTGTGGCTTTCCATTTTCTTCTCTTTTTCTTCGTCAGGAAAACTGTCCTGTGACACGCATCTGCACTTACTCCATAGGCCTTAGGTTAGATGCCCTTTAATTGGAGGCTGAGGAGAGGTCCTGGTTCACGAAGCTGAAGCAGGCAGGAAGCAGCTGGGCATGGTGCCTGGCCCTAAAATCCTATCCAACAGGTAGTTAGTGATAAGCTAGAACAGGAAAAGTGTCAGCCCAAGCAGGTGGAATCTAAGATACGTTTTGGCCACACAGACAAAGTAACTCACAGTAACAGTTACCTGGTTGTTTATTTAATACAACCACTGTGAGTGTTCAGTAAAGACAGAGGCCTATAAAACACAGGAGTCACATTTGACATTCCGAGTTTGGAGATATGCCTGAGGGTGAGGTCAGAGCACCTTTAAAGATTTGCCTTGACTAATATAATTAAAATCCTAATGTAATTCTAATTAATAATTGGCGTTTTGCCTGCATGTATGTCTATGCTAGGGTGTCAGATCTTAGAGTTCCAGACAGTTGCTAGTTGCCATATGGATGCTGGGAATTGGACCTAGGTCCTCTGGAAGAGCAGCAAGTGCTCTTAACAACTGAGCTATCTCTCCAGTCCCACTACTTTCTAATATAATATTATATTACATATTATTATAACATAATAATTAATATACATTAAATATATAGACTTTAACTTTAACTACTAACCTTGTAGTTACTTCTTTTAGTTTTCCAAGACAGGGTTCCTCTGTGTAACAGCTCTGGCTGTCCTGGAACTAGCTCTGTAGTCCAGGCTAACCTTGAACTCACAGAGAGCTGTCTGCCTCTGCCTCCCAAGTGCTGGGATTAAAGCCATAAGCCACCACCAGACAATTCTAAAGAGCACATGTAGTAAACATTAGAAAGAATTATAACTGGATATTGAACCATTTGATAATGTACTTGCATAGAAAAATCCAAAGCCAATTCATGTAAGTTTTAAAATGCAGCTTATCTTGTATAGAATTGCTATTTATGAAGCAAATCATTTTATTCATGAGGCTGTTTTTAATCTAGAAAGAATATTCTATGGAAGGAAAAATTATGTTGAATAGAACAATGAGATCCCATAGATCCCAAGAGGTATTTCTTCTCATTTTTCTGTGCTCTTTTGTTTGACACAAAACTTAAGTACAATAATCAGGGAGCAGACCCAGCTCAGCTCCCTTTTACAATAAGATCTAAGCACTGGAAAAGTAACGTCTTGGCTGAGGCTTTAGGCACAGCATCCACTTACTTCCCACACAAGCCACGCCTCCATCTCCAGACCCTGTGCTGGAAGTCCGTCATAGCACTTACCCTCCTCCCAGCTAAGAAACCCACAGGCAGCTCAGGCACTGGGGCAAAACCACTGGAAGGTCCCTAAGAATGGCTTCTAGATGGCAGCACAGAGAGTTGGACAGCCATCCTGGGGCACCCGAGAGCCAACAGAAAAGGTCACACTAAAAGATGGGTCCATCTCCAAGTGGCTGAACTGAGCAACCCAGGGCAGCCAGACTCTGGCCTTCCTGCTTTGCAGTGATAAGTCATTTAGGTTCCAGATAATTTTATTGTGTGTGTGTGTGTGTGTGTGTGTCTTTCTGGTATTTCCCCTAAAGCAGCCTGATTCATGTGAAAGTCTTTAGAAGGACTTTGTGTTTAAAAATCTAAGTAAGTCTTTAGAAGGACTTTCATGTTTAACAATCTAGGTAATTTGGAATTCACGGGAGTATATTCCTCTCGGCTCCAATACTCACCATTAAAAAATAATGGTCCTCGGGTTCAGCACGAAGATACTTAAAGACCACTTGTTCCATGAACCTTTCCATAAGATCCCAGTCTTCAATGATGCCATGTCGTATAGGCCACTGGGGCAAAAGGAAGCAAGATGTATCCAGACAGTAAGAAATGGAAAGGGGCAACGGCTTCACAGCACAAGTGCAGAGGAGGCGGTGCAGCCCAACAGAATAAAGGCCTCCTGGCAGGAGGCTCATGGTGAATCACATTTCAACAACACACTTTAACAAGAGACCTAGTTAGGTACTGTAATTGACTGCTTCACCTCTAAGTACACAGAACTACCTGGATGACAGCGTGCAGAGCTCATCCCCCATGCAACTCCCTCTGGTCCTTTTGTTTTTACAGAAGAAAGGCCTGCTTTGCTGGTGAACAAGTGGAGAAATGGGAACTATTACACAGGGCTGGTGGGACTGAAAACTGTGGCAACTACTGTAGAAGTTAGTGTGAAGGTTCCTAAAAAGAACTAAAAACAGGGCTGGAAAGAGGACTCAGAGGTTAAGAACACTGCTGCTCTTCCAGAGGTCCTGAGTTCAATTCCCAGCAGTCACATGATGGTTCACAACCATCTGTAATGAGATCTGGTGTCCTCTTCTGGTGTGCAGGCATACATGCACATAGAACACTGTATACATAATAAATAGATCTTTAAAAAAAATCAGAACTACTGTAAAGCTCATGGAGACTACGCGTGGGCATATACCTGAAGGACTGTAAGTCAATAAATTACAGAGCTATATGCACATCCATAATGACCATTGTGTATTCACAGTAGCTGAGAAATAGAACCAGGCTAGATGTCTATCAACAGATAAATGGATTCTTTTTAAATGTAGTACATATATGCATTGAAGTTTTATTTAGTCATAAAAAATAAAATCATGACAACTGCAGGAAAATGAATGCCAATAGAAATTATTAAGGTAAATGAAATAAGCCAGATGCAGAAAGACAAATATTGCATGTTTTCTCTATATAGAACCTAGATTTAAATTACTCTCTCCCTATCTCTTCTCTCTTCTCTCTCTCTCTCTCTCTCTCTCTCTCTCTCTCTCTCTCTCTCTCTCTCCCCTCTCTCTCTCTCTCTCTCTCTCTCTCTCTCTCTCTCTCTCTC